TTCAGCAGCTGGTTGCCTCTCCATCACCAGCATTTCCCATTCATGACTTCAAGGAAAGCAAAGTCTCTCATTTCAAGCCTGGGGTTACTCACAAAGTACCACTGTCAGAAGGCATTCAGCCTCCTATGGCACTAAGCAGCAGCAGGCGGTACTGCTAATTTTCTTCTTCATTTACATGGGACGTAAATCAGAACCAAACAAGCTCTTTCTAACTGCTCCCAGGCCATGTCTTTGGCAAGCATCTAAGATACAGAGTAGAGAGTTCACTGTGTAAATGAACGCATAAGAGACAATTGCACTGGCTATCCTGAAATGGAGAGTGATTACACTGCATTTGAAATAAGCCATGGTCCATTTGGGATTCTGCGCATTAGGGCTACCAGGAGATTTAAAGCTATCAACAGAAGAGAGAGGGCTATATGTGTTCAGCTAATACATTAGAGGTCTGATCATTATGCCAAAAAACAGAGAGGGAAGACACAGCACTGCCCTGTAGGACTCAAAGGATGCTAGCAAAGGACATCTGTGGATCAGAGTGCAGCCAGCAGCTCATCCACAGCTCCATGGTAGAGGAAGAGAGAGCTCTGTCCTCCCCTCCAAGGATCAGAGGTATAGGGAGAGCTTCCTTCCAGCTCCTGGCCTCCAAAAGGACACAGGGAATATGGAATGCATCCTGCACCCTGCTGGCAGTGCTGAGGACACTGCAGAAGTGGTACCCCTAGGAGAGATGTCCCAGTGGTGGGATCAGTCATCATCTGCAAGTGCTAATCTTTCTCCAACAAGTCTTAAAGCCACCTGGGTGACCAGCTTGGACCAGACACCTGTCCTTTAGAGAGCTTGGCCTGATGAGAGGTTACTCTGGGCCCTGAACACCCTTGAAGCTCTGGGCCTCACTCTTCTCTTCTACTCAGAGTAGCTATTTGGGAGGAGAGGAACAGCAGCTGAGAGATATCTTGGAGGAATTACTCAAAAACTAACATGAAGTAAAGCCAGCCTTTAATTTAAGGGCCCTCCCTGATTCTTTGCAGAGCACAATCCATGGGCTGAGGTAACGCAGCCTAGCGTTACTGCACACTGCCTTTGCAGATGCACCTGCCATATGCAAGAGCATCAGCATGTAAGGAAAGCCACAGAGAGGTGGTGATGTTTTTAATTCAGTCACGGGCACGCACCAATGAACAACCCACTGGACTCTGTCACAGAAGAGGTATATTCCAAACAGCTGAAGAGTTTCTCTTGAGCTGAGAGTCCCTTCCTTCGTCAATTGTTATGGCTTCCCCCCTTGCCTGATGCCCTTCCCCATTCAGCTGTACTCAGGCCGCTGCCGAGTTTTCCAAGTTCTGCAAGATCTAAGACAAAAAAACAAAGCATCGTCCTTTCTGCTAATCAGAAACCATTCCTTCTCTTTTTCCCCTCCTGAAGAGACTAAAAGAGACCACTTTTCCCTGTGACTTTGAAGGTCACAGTTAAGGGAGGAGGATGGGCCAAAGAGCTTGATAAAAGGATGCAGAAAACCTTCCTGCAGACTCCCCTACCCGCAAAAGGAGGTGAGCGGCTGAGAGGAGCAGCAGTGGTGGGCGCACTAGCATGCAGCACAGCAGATGACTGGATTTAAAAACATGCGTAATTCAGCAGTGCCTTGATGAATTTGACTCATGCTTCCTCATCCTGCCTCTGTTGCATGATACATTCTCCTGCCTGAGGGAATGGCTGCAGTTTAACTTTGATTAACTCTTGATCCACCACAAGAGGAAGGGCAATGCCTCCCCATGACTGAGGCATGCCAAAATATCCATATTCCCCAGCCTTGCCAGCTAGGTTCCCTCCAGGATGAAGAGGCAGTCACTCAGAATAGGGACTTTACATGCCCTTAATTGCCCTCTGGATGTGTTTCTCTCCCTCTATCAGTAAAGGGAGGCTCTGGGGCACCAGCCAGATAATTCAGAGCCTAAAACTGGACAGCAGGTACGCTCTCTGTAACCTCTCTGTGCCTCAGTTCCCAGCCTGCATTCCCAGCCTGCATGATGGGGAGAAGAGCTCAAGCCCTCACACAGCCAAATTCACTCCACTGCCTTCACAGCCAGACTGCCTTGGACTGAGCCATCCCTGCGC